ATCTCAACATATTTAAGTTTTGAAGTGCAATCTCTCCTATCATTGGCCCCCGGCTACTCCTTCAAAGACTTTCTGAAGGTACGCTCCTGTATAATCCCAATATTGATTAATGTAATCGAGTGAAGCAGCTGCTTAGCCTGCAGCAAGAACTGAAATGTGCCTTCCCTTTCCCTTACCAGCATTGCTTGCCACAACTCATTAAAGTGTCAAATGAGCCATTGTAATGTCTTCTTGCCAGCTGGTTTTCTACCAGCTGTTATCGTGAAAGTTTTGATGGAGAAGTGAAGGAGAACCGGCTTGCTTTCGGACAGCAGGCATATTAGCTGACTTTATACATGTGTTGTCCATGTCTGGAGGGTTTCACTGACATTCCTCCTCCTCGTTTTCATCGCCTCTCTTCCACAGTATGAATAATAGAAAAGAAGAAGCTTCAGCGTGTTGGACTTGGCCTGGCTCGCTCCCATATGTTCCCGCACAAGCTGAGGGCATGCCTCTGACTTCAAATTTGTGTTTTCCTCCATCCTGCTGACAGGAAGGAAACACATGAGGGCATGGGAAGGCTTGCTCATCTTACTTTGGCAACAATAAAGGTCACCCTTGGCTTCTGAGAAAGAACTCTCACTGGATATTCAACCTCGGGGCCCGGAGAATTACTGTAATGCACTGGGCTGGTTCGATCTCCATGTCCTTCTTTTGTTTGTTGTAATTGGATAAACAAATCTGGTTATGAGAGACAAAAACATCAAACCAAATTTGGATGCAACACGATGCATTCTTAGTAGTCCGTTAGCCTGGACAGTCCTACTCAGGAAGGATCCCCAGGATCCAGGAACGTCACGGTACGTACCAAAGGCTTCCCTCCATAATGTGCCAAAGCCTAAACTGCTTATATTTCTAGCCAGGTGGCACTGCGTCTCCTTTGAATAAGGAGGCTAAGAGATTCCTTGAGCCAAACCAAAGCATAAGCAAACGAAGTGGCTGCCCAATTCCAGAAGGGAGGTTCAAAGAGTGTTTCAGTTTCCAATTCAGAAGATAAATCTCAACTTATCAAGAATTTGTCGCCCTTTTTATTTCCTTCAATGTTTTTTGGGTCAAAGCTTCTTATGATCTCACTACGAAATGAGTTGCCATATTAATAAGGAGTTGTAAAACTCACAGCTAATGCATTCTGGGCCAAATACTCCAATGTGTTTATGGAGTAATTGGGACCATCAAAATAGCTTCAAGAATAATTCGGAAAAACTGCAATTCTGGCACCTGTAAAGTGGTTCTGGTTAGCACTGTTACTCTGATGTCAAGAGACATAAACACTGCTTTCTCCACATATTTGTGTTTCCAGACTGCCCTTCGTTATAATGTAGTAACCCCAAGTTTTCCTTTCCTCTGCATGATCAGTTTGTGTATCATTAGTGAGGACAAAGAGGAGCTATGGTTATGTAGCTGTGGTGAAATTCTATGGAAATGCTGAGGACATCATCCATACTTTGACTCAACTGCTCTCAAGCTGTAAGGAGGTAGTTTTCCCATACATACACATGGAGTTTGGCCCTAATCTGTCACTTTAATCGAATGCCACACGTGTTGAATAGAAGGAAGTTCAAATAATCAGGGGACCGCTCTGGTCAAACTTTGTTTTGTTTATTCCACTTGTTTTGATCGCACGGAGAATAAAGGCTCCAACCAGTCATTTTGGATTGGTTGTAGCCAAACCAAAGGTTCTTCACCTATTTGAAGAAACGTAAACATCAGCAGATGTTTTGTACTGACAAAGAACACAGGAAAATATAAACCATGCCAAAAACAATGATTTTTTTTTCATCTGATAAACTTTATGCTCACAAACAACACATGTGGTTCCTACTGTCACAGAGAAATTTAATGAAACGCTGTGTCCTCATTCCTCAGCTTTAGGTTGTTTGTTTCATGCAATTCAATATTCCAACTGTTTCATAATCCTGAGAGAAAAATGGAGAAACGTCTCTTTGGTTTGCCAGTTGAGGAGAAATCCATCCAAGTTATGTCTCACAGATGATCTCTGCATACATTTTCACAGGCACACATCTATTCTACATATTTTCGTTAAAGGAATATTTTAGTCAGGAAGAAATTTGTCCTCTGATTACTGTCAAACATTTCCAGATGCTGCTGTTTATAGACATCCTGTCATCATCCATTTACAACAATGACATCTAGTCTTGAGGGAGTGACTCATTGTTTTTTATTATTTCTGGAAATGCTATTTAAAATCAGTTATGTATTTTGCCAACCGATGAAAAGGCAGATTCCAGGTTAACTGCATTCTGTTCTTGCCAGATATCTGGTTTTAAAATATATTTGCTCTTTAGCTGAAAGAACCCCTCCACCCTCTGCCACCCAAGTTAAAATCTGCTCTTGGCTCCATACAACCTTTGACCGCCTCTGGGCTCTCCAGTTATGTTTTCATTAAGTGTTCACATACAGTAAAAGTGGGCCTGTCATTATGTGCCTTACCCAAAACATCTGAGCATTTAAAATAAAGAAATAAATCGATCTTCTATGACCTGATGTGCTCTGGTGTTTTCCTGGTTTGTCAGTGTTTTGTTTTGTTTTTTCTTACACTACTAGAGGAGGTAGTCTCGGGACAGTTCCAGCCTTCCCGTGCCGTCTGTCCCGCAGCTCTTTCCTCTGATTCCTCCCGGTCAGGAATCTACGCCACGGCTCCAACGCCCGGCCGTGCGCTTGAACCGTGCGCACGGATCCGTGCCAAACCGCGTCGCACCGTTTTTTTTTCGGCTGACCAGACAACTAAAGCTCACGCTCGCATCGTTTTTTTTTTTTTTTTGTTTTTTGCCTCACGTGCGGCCATTTTTTTGTTACCCCATCCGAGCCCATTCATTGTGCCGCGCGCGCACACTTCCAAAACCGTGCGTCAGATCCTTCCCCGTTAGACGGTAAAAAGGACAACCCCCGACATAAATCCAGAACAGGATGTAAGAGCTGAACGTGTTCCGACAGCGCGGAGAGCCTCTGCTTCTGTCAAACTCCGCTGCCGCCGCCGCCGCTACGCCTCTCACCCGCGCCAAGTGTCTTTGTCTGACATTTCAACACCAATTTATGAATGACTTCAGGAGCGTCCTCGCGTCGCGTGCGTTCACGAGGCATGACTTACCTGTGAGTCGCGCGCGTGAGTTGCGGTGGTCCACGGTTCGTCCCGGTCGGACATTCAGATCCACACCCCCTCCCCTCTCTCTCTTCAGCTGTCTGTCCTGGTCCCGCAGCAGACTGCCGACACCACGATGCCAATCAAACAAGCAGGCCACGCCCTTGCTTCGACGTCATACCGCGCACACCAATCACAGCGGTGACACATTACGACCATTAGTTATAGTACCTAGTTCTTAACACAAGTCACCGACCATTCAGATAAATCCACCTGAGAATAAGAGTGAGAATCGATTATGAAGTAAGAGTGCGCGAGAAAGCTTGCGTGAGGACGTTGGGAGATTGTTAAGTGAGCGCGTGCGTTAGAAAAATGAAAATGTACTCCGTGCATATAAAAAAAAAGTGCCGGGAAACAGAACAAGAAGGGAACAAAACTTATTTCAAAAACACATTACTTCCTCTTTACACTGTCGTTCTCATGTATTGGCACCTATTTGCAAGTTTACAGCCACGTACAAAGTGCTTTATTGGGATTTTAGTGCAGATCTGTGCAGAGGTCGGAAAAAGTCATAAAGTTTTCAAAGTTTTTCGAAGTAAAATACTATAAAAAAATTTTTTAAAAAGTGCAGTTTGTCTTTGTGTTCACTCTTGTTGGCCTGGTTCTCCTCGAATAAAATCCACACTAACTAGTCAAAGAATGCTGCTGTGAAGAACATTAGAAATATCATGATCCTTTATAATCACTGATCTGCTGCGCATATTGCAATAAAACATAAAGGGAAAAAAAATTTAAAAACAAAGTCATAAGAAGTCATGTTTGCTGTGCATCGCAAGCCAAAAAAGAGACACAATAAGCAAGTGGAGGAGAACAAAACTAAACCCCTTTTTTTGGCAAACGCACTGCACATGACCCTGAACGCACCATTAAACCTGGTGGTGGTAGTAAGTCACTGTAATCTCAGCAAATTTTCATCAACTTCTTTGATGCTCGGCGGTGAAATGATGCACCAGTTTAGCTTTTCAGGTTATCCCTCGAGTATTTGTGTGACAGGCTGCTGCTTGCACTTTTTAAACTGAAATGTCATGCCGGAGAGCAACAACCACAAGTTTTCACTGGGAAATAAATGTCTTGCCAATGCTAGAACAGGCCCTCACCTTTCAGGCCACAAGGGGACGCCATTAGCTGCAGAGGAGAACTTCTACAACATAAATTCTCCAGTTTTTATTTTTGTTTGTTTATTTAGATTTCCAGCCGGTATTTAGCTGGGTTTTTTTTTTTTTTTTTTTTTTTTTTTGGTGTATACTGACTCTGCAGGCAGGGCCAGCGAGAGGATTTTGAATAAGAGGCAAGGTGTGGCTGCACAGGTTCAGACTTGATCTCAAGAAACTGAGGAGAGCCTTGCGATGAGTAATAAACTAAAGGCTGCCCTCCCAGAAAGTTCAAATAATTTTACAAGTGAGAAGTGACACATGACACACTAATTGCATATGTTCGTATGTATTGTGAATCTTTTGTATGAAGTTGTAGGTTTAAATATTCCCTTTAGAATAACTTCGATGTATTCATGAAAGATCAAGGAAAGGTTTTGCGTCTTATTCGAGTTGTATTTGTGATAATTGAGTAGTTTTTTTAAAAACATTTATTCATAACCATTCTGCATATTGTTCCTTTTTCTGTTGTTGCCGTTTTTCGTTTTATTTTATTTAAGTCAAAGCACATCTTTGAATTTTTAATACTCTTTTTAAATAAAATGGCATGAAAATTTTCTTTTATGTTTTTATTTATTTATTTATTTTGCTTTTTTACAGATTTCTTCTGTCTTTGATACACTTTTCACATCATTAAAAAAAATTAAATATCAGACAAAGATAGAATGAGTAATGATCTTAAAATTATTATTTAATTCATGAAGACAAGAAAAAATATCTAAACTTATGTAAAAATATAATCTACCCTCTTGAAACATTACTTAATTTCAATTGATCACATTTTTGTGATCCGGTTTCATTAGCAACGTCCAGACCTGGTAAATAGACCATACCAAGAAATCAGCTAAATGTTTCCTGCCAGGCATTCCACGATGACAAGCTGAAATCTGTCACATAGCGACACCTTAAGCAAAACAAAGGTAATGTCAGGAGGTCTAGTCAAAGCCTGGATTTAAATGTAATTGAGATGTTATGACATGACCACAGTTGGGTGACTGTGGCAGTCTGGCAGAGTAGTCGTCTTGTTGTCGGTTCGATTCCAGCTTCCTCCTGCCACATGTCGATGTGCCTCTGTGGGCAAGTGTGGGCAAGGCACTTAACCCCAAATTGCCTACCAGTCTGCATATCGGTATGTGAGTGCAAATGGGTGAATGTGATTCTAGTGTGAAGCGCTTTGAGTGGTCAAAATGACTGGAAAAGCGCTTTATAAGCTCAGTCCATTTCCATTGAATTAAATTCGATCCTCAAAGATCATTCAACATTGATTAATTGGGACATTCCCTTCACAGTGACGTAAAAGACTGCTAGTTATTCCAAATGTTTGACGCCAGCTGTTTCCATGAAGAGGGGTAATTTTAGACATAAAGGGACAGGTTGGTTTGTTTAATTTTTTTCCCTTAATAAAGGTGGGGGGATCATCTGGGAACTGCGTTTTGCAGTTACTCAGATTAACTTTATCTGGAACATTAAAGTAAGACAAAGCAGCAAAAACTGACTGGTTTTCTATGACACTCTACGCAGTTCTGCTATTACACCAATGAATCACTGAACTGAACCTTTAGCAATTTATGCATGTGCGTTCCTCGTCAAACAGATGCCAAAATGCTTTTGTTCAAACAGTGATTGTTTAATAGCACAAATATACAATACAATCAACACGCCCCTCCTCGAGGTCTTATTGGAGTTTCCCAGACGACTTAGCTATTTTACAGTTTCACGTACTGTAAGCTGTGTTCATTGTAGCTTATGCACACAGAGAGAGTGAGACAAGCTAGGTGGCCATTCAGACAGGTAACAGGTACAGAGACAGAGCGGCCATTGGGAGGTGCAGGGCAGTGTGAACCGACAGACATGTAGACATCAGAGGTGACTGAGGTGGAGGGTGAGCGACGGCCATCACCACAATGATGGGTCGTACCTGGGGAGAGAAAAGGCAAAGAGAAAGATCAGCTTCCAGTGACGCCTACGGAGAACCGAGTCTCACCGAAGTCCATACATGCCTTGACTGTGGGAGTGTGTCTCTGCTCTCCTTCAGCAGCAGCTCTGAGACCAGCGTGTCCAGAATCTCAGGACTGGACCGCTTTCCATACCTGAGGCACACGAGAATGACGGATTCAGAATCCAAACGAACTCGGCATCGACGTTGCCGGTAATTGCAGTCAAATGTGTTTTTATTCCTTTTTCTGAAGCGGTGCAAAGGAAAACTCGCTTTGTGTAATCTGGTCGATGTCTAATTATAAGATCATTGTAAGCTGAGCACGGTCAGGCCTTAATCTCAGGAAACAGAGACACGAGCCGCATCACAGGAGGTTACACATTCCCTTTCTGTGCTTTTGATGATAAGTCATATCAGGGCCGCAGGTGTCCTGGAGAGGCTCGTTGCCTGCAGAGGCTTATCAAATCCCCGACATTCAGAATGAAGCGGAAAGCTGTGGGGTACACGACAGAAAGTCCTGGCAGTGAAAGGTATTCTTCTTCTCTCTTTTTCTTTTTCACCAACAGGTGGTAGAAAATAGAATGGAATAGAAATCCAGTTCTACTCCAAATCGAAATGAATTAACAAGTAGAAAGATATATATATTTTGTTGTTCGTACGACAACTCGTGCTAAAAAGGATTTCTAAAATGAAAAGAAGAAAAAAAATATTATTTTTTATTCTTTTAAATTGAATACATCAAATAAGATATATTTGAAACAAACCAACATACATCTGACATAAAAACCAACTCTGCAGTGGCTGCATTATATTTTGGGTTTAATGTTATTAAATTGTTGTTGTTTTTATCGAAACAGAATTTTCAAAAGGTTTTGTAAAGAAATGTTTTGTTTTATTCCATTTTCCTCCTGAGTTTTGTGCAAAGTCAAATGGAATAATTGATTCATTTAATTAATTGATTAAGCAACTCAGTAAATACTAGATAGATAGATAGATAGATAGATAGATAGATAGATAGATAGATAGATAGATAGATAGATAGATAGATAGATAGATAGAGATAGATAGATAGATAGATAGATAGATAGATAGATAGATAGATAGATAGATAGATAGATAGATAGATAGATAGATAGATAGATAGATAGATAGATAGATATAGATAGATAGATAGATAGATAGATAGATAGATAGATAGATAGATAGATAGATAGATAGATAGATAGATAGATAGATAGATAGATAGATAGATAGATAGATAGATAGATAGATAGATAGATAGATAGATAGATAGATAGATAGATAGATAGATAGATAGATAGATAGATAGATAGATAGATAGATAGATAGATAGATAGATAGATAGATAGATAGATAGATAGATAGATAGATAGATAGATAGATAGATAGATAGATAGATAGATAGATAGATAGATAGATAGATAGATAGATAGATAGATAGATAGATAGATAGATAGATAGATAGATAGATAGATAGATAGATAGATACCTCTGTCTTGTGATGAGGTTGATGTAGTGTCTCAGGGCTGAGTAATACTTGGCCAACTCCTCCGCCGGAGCGTCCTCCCCGGGGTTCTCTGGTTTCACCGGGTACCCCTCCGTCAAGGCGCCCAGGCAGACCAGCGCCCACAGCAGGAACCCCAGCGTCCCGAGCCAGCTCACCAAGTTGGGATGCATCTGTCACGGAGAAGACAGAACCAGTCCGTACCTAACTCTTCCTGTGCATGACGACTGTTCTGCGCTTTTTTTTTTTTTTTTTTTGCGCTCCTCTGGGAGATTTCGCTCAATAATGACACGCGTACGTTTACAAAGAAAAGCATGCCGGAAAAAAAGGGATGAAGCTTTGACGGAAGAGAAGGTGAAAAATTCAAAGCACTTACATTTTTCAGAAGGTCTCAGTGAGGTTTGCGCGACGTCCTGTTGATTCTCCTCCGCTCCTCTGCGCGCTCGTTGCGCGCCATGGGGTTTATATCAGCGCGCGCCAGACGCGCGCCAGGAAAAAAAAAGAAAAAAAAAAGCGTCAGCGCTTCACTCTGTTTGGCCCGGGTCTTTGCCTTCCTTCATGTGAACGTCACTGCTGATGCTGCTCTAATTAAGGTGCGTGTGTGTAGTTTGTATTAATATAACCAAAAAAGCAAACTGAAACCAGAGTAAGGATGACAAACGTTGTTTCCTGTGACAAAACCAGCTGTTCAAGGCTAATATGCAGACGTCAAAAAAGCAACTCTTGTACGTTGCATATAGACTGAATCATATAAATTAATTAAAAAAAATAAAATAAAATCCAACAAAATCTTCAGTTATGTTCCATGTGTGCACAAGAGGCTGAATCTGATGTTTTGAAGCGCGTCGAAGTTCCTTCATGGAGGAAGCAGTCATAAATTATTGCACAGTCAAGATTATTTTTCAAAACAAGATCAATCGTCAAACGTGAAGTCGCAAAAAAAATGCCAGCGACGCATTCACTTTGGTACCAGTTCAAATGAAGCTTCACGTGGCCCATCGTCACCAGAAAGCAGACGCCTTGGGTGGCGCTGGACAAAAAGATCTCAAACTGGCTCACATGTACGGGGCTGAATTAGTGCATTAATTTCACTTTGTCGCGCGTTTGCGTCGCACGAAGAAAGAGGGAGACTGTGGCTCTCGAGGTGAACAAAAGGCCCAAATGTGAACACGGAGACGCGTCAAAGAGGAGCCCAATCTCCTCGAGGCCCACTTAATAAGAAAACCCAAATAGCAGTTCGCAGTGAGTCTGTATCACCCAGAGCTTCATTTACCTCCCATTCATAATCCTTTTGTGCTGGCAGCTTGCAGCCGTGTAATCTGTCAAAAATAAATAAATAAAAAAATCAGCATTCTTCGGCACCGCTGCTTTCTAACTCCCTCAGAGGATGTGTTGAGTGCTTTTTTTTTTGTATGGCACAGGATGCAAAAGAGGGAGATGAGGAGTGTGACACAAGCGAGAGAACCGTGGAGCGCGGAGTCATGACTGACTGGAAAGGAATTAGTGGATTCACATGCGTCCTTGAAGACTCTCTTCAACAGGTATATATCATCATTCAGGAGGGAAGAGGCGTGAAGCCTATATGTAGATGGCTGACACAGGATTGAAGCAGATGTGTAAACACGGGGGACAAAAACGCTGAAAGATCAGAGAGCTTTGATGGAGAAATTCATCTCCAGGAGGCTTTTATGCAGACTTTATTTATTTATTTTAGCTCTGGGGTTTCAGACAGAGGTGACCAAATGCATGCCCTCTACATCCACAGCTCTTAAGGCAGACAAGTTAAAGCAGAAGTTCCTCTATTCAAGGAGTTTTCGGTCATGCTGGAAACTTTAAGAAGCTGTTGCTTTCAAGACAGACAATTTAGACTGGTTGCATTCCTGAACTGTAAATTTCCCCGAACGCCATAGATTTTCAGTGGACTGGAAATGCTTTTTCAGACCGCCCCCGACTTTTGGTTTTCTGTGATCCTTTCTCACAGCTGCTGTGAGTGTTCTTCGCGTTATAGCCGCACAGAATCGTGACAGTTCCAGCCACTGATCTTCAAGAGACAGGTTTGGACACGCAGGTGGACCTCCATGGAATTAGAGCAGAAAATATAAAGCATATAAATATGTTTGACCTTCCACCATTATTTCATTTACCACTCTCTGTTTGGTCTGTTACATACTAACCATGTCATTTCATGAAATGCTTTGTTGTCGCCCTGTGATAAAAATGTGATAGTATCCAACCTACGACGATACAAATTCAGTAACACCGAGACTTAGTGTGAAATGTTCCCTAATGCTGGCTTCAGAACTACACGTTCAGAAAGGATCCAGTGTTTACTGTGACAGCTTGTGCAGGCCTGAGATGTGAAACCCCCAACGGAGCTCAGTTTGATGAACCCCGAACAAAATGCGCCCGTCGCACAGTGGATCAGTCGACACACACACTGACTCCCTGAGAACAAAGTAAATCACTGTCATGCAGACACAGACCTTCACGTCACAGGGCGCTTACAGTTTGCAGGAAGCTGTTGTCAGAAGGGCAGTGCAGTGGCTAACATAGAGAGGCAGTGGGACTGGTTTGAGCAAAAAAAAATTAAAAAATCGGGCTAAGGTCTGGACTTTGAGTGATAGCAGCACCTCGACTGTTTTCTGTTTCAACCATTTTGTAATAGAGGATGTGGTTGAGGTTGACTACCAAATGTTTGAGCTGTTGGACAGATGTCAATAGATTTAACATGAAAGTTTAATCCTAAAGTGAATGTTGTGATAATTAGGGTTAATCGGAATATATGCATGATTGGATTGATTGTACTGTTTTGTGAAGTGCCTTGAGATAAAGTGTTGTGGCACTATATAAATCAACCGAATCGAACTCAAAAGTATTTACAGTAAGTTAAGCACACGTGCTACAAACTTTGCGTTCCTCATGTTGAGGGCCTCCAAATTGCTTGAAGTCCAGTGTGTCATTTTTTTCAGGCCAGGGTGTTTTGGGGAGACGCATAATTAGCTGGTGTTGAGCTCAGTGTGATTTATTATGTCTAAAATCAATGTATTTTTTTGGCACTTTATTCCTTCCTCTGCTTTCACACTTTATGGGGATTTTATTTGACACCTGCCTATTGTGTCAAAACATCAGACAAAACAGATGAGCAGAAGGTTGCTATCAATGCCTGTTTTTTTTGTTGTTGTTGTTTTTTTATTAAATCTGAAAAAGCTGGCTAAGCTGTGAATTTTACCAAGACACGAAACTCTGACAGCATACTACCCATCAAAAATTTATACTACAACATGTTCAATTATTGAAGCAAACTCAGAACAAAATAAAATTCTTAGAGGATGTCTGCTGGATCTCAGAGAATTAAAACAAAAACAAAAAAAAACTAAAATAAAAATAGAGAAGATGCTGATTAAGTTTTAATACATGCTGAATGAGAAACAGCAGCATGATATGTAAAAGAAAAAAAAAAAGAGCAGGATTGAATTGAAATGCGGTCATGATCAGATTTAATCAGCATTACTGCTAATGGTGTGTTCTCTTACGGAGATCGCAATCATCTCCAGTACTGTCCAACGAGCTGATTAGATATCTCGAAAAGCTCCAAACCAATTTCACAGTGATATTCCTTTCTTTAGGTAAGTAATGCGCTCAATAATCCATTTGTTAAAGACTTAGCCTTATCAGAAATCAGTTCTGTGGAAGCCAATTCCTATTGAGAGTGAGCTTTTTTAAATGCAAATGTGCCTTCCCCTCCTCTCATCAGCCTCCTGGTTTGTACAATAAGTTCTTCTCCAAGATTTGTTAAGATGAAAGAGCCCTGTAATTTTCCACCACCATGAATTAGACTTTTCAAATTTACAGAGCGATGAAGTGGGGAAAGGAAACACTAACATGCAGGCGGCGTCTATCTTCTCACCCCAGGCAGTTGCATCCAAACAGAAGATAAATCAAATGAAATGCCAACTTTTCCCCTGCTTTTTTTTGGCTATCACTAATTTTTGCTTTGAGTCTTGACATCTAAATTGTTACTTAGTTCTGCAAGCTATTGTATTATCTGCCTACTTGTGGCTGGCAAGGAGTACTGTTTGTGAAAAGAAAAAGGCCGCGCTTTCTTCATCGCCTTTTTTATTTTTTCAAATGAAAAATCTCACCTGAACACAAAAGACAGTGACCTGGCCCCGACGCCATTAAAAGAAGGCGAGTGTTGGTTCATGCGAAGAGGTTAGGATTATATAAGAGAAAGATCTGGCTGATCTGCAGGTATAAGCTCTCTTAGGCTCTGTTTAATTTACAGTGCAGGGTCCAGTTGAGCATGTTCCAGTTTTATCATCTGGTTCCCCAAATTACACTATATCGCCGAATTTATTCTCCCATCTGCTTCCACACACTGATAGCTGATGCCACACATCAGTCAAGTGGCTGAACGGTCATTTTTATGTTTTATTTATTTTTAACAGCACTGTGTAGTTCAGAATTGAGAGATGTCTTCCCAGCAAGATTTGAACAAGCTTATTTAATTTTCTCAGCAGTTTGATTAACTTTCTATTGAGGAAAGATGTACAATTTCTGGTCTTTTCCGAGCTGGCAACAGAAAGCGTGTCCTCAAATTGTTCTTCTTTGTTGTGACTTTGACTTTAACAGACATCATTTGAAAGCAATTAGTGAGCCACACATCAAGCTTCCCCCTATTCTTAGTTCACAATAGTGCAAAATACTTAGTGGGGAACGAAGAACTAATGTTCTTTCTTATTTGTTTGTCACTTTCTCCACTTAAAACACCCACTATTTAAAGAGCTACATTGACTTGTCTTGGTATTTATCGAAGCCGTCGCTGCTGCTTCTCTCAGTGTTCCTCGTTGTCTCTTCTGATTTGTCTGAGCGCGAGTCTTTCTCTACGTGTGTGTGTCTTTGGAAATGTGTCTCATCTGTGTCTGGTGTGGAAGCAGCACAAACGTCGTGTCAAGACAGCGATCATACATGTTGCTTTGATGGACAGATGAGCTGAGGGTCTGGCCACCAAGCTGTGGCAGGCTGGGTTGGCTCAGGTGCGCAGGTCAGAGTCCTTAGCCTCGATATAAGGGAGCCTGATGAAAGTTGCACCTACGTCAAAGGGCGATAAACTTTTGTTTGATGTCACAATCTACGTCAAGTCACTAGCCTTAATGCATCATTCTTATGTCAGTAGCACACTTTCATGGATCTGTGTCATATTCATATACGTTTTAAATGTACAAAAGGCAAAGGTCACCTTCAAAACCATTATCTTCCACACTTATTGGCTCTGCTGGGACATGCTAGTAAAAACATAAATTAAGCTTCTTTTTTGCAGTGCTGCAATAATCTCAACCTGAAGATTGAAAATGTGCTTTACTTGATCACGTTAAATCGACAAGAGGAAATTGATTGGTGGAGAAGAATATTTTTAACCACACTTGTTGATAATCTAAACAACTCTCAAAAACTAAATGAAACGGAAGCTTTTTTGTGGTTTCCTGCTTCAAACGGATCAGTTCTTCTTTTCCGACTGATCCTAGTGGTGAAACAATGCAGTCAATTTCGGTTTATCACTCAAATTCATTAAAAAGACGTTTTCCAAGAAAACCCAGCAGATTGCCTCGAGTCATTGACTTGCAGCAACCTTTTGTTGCAAGCAGCAACAAAAGGCAATCATTTGCATTGTGTCAATGACTTTACAGCAATCTAAGGACTACGTAACAACTGCTCTGTCCCTGAATATATTATCAAATATATTCATGACGTTAAAGGCATGCAACGTCAACATAAAGTCTGATAATGGAGGGTAAATGTATGCGGGGGCAGGGGTGGGGGGGGTGGGGAGGGGGTTCTAACTAGTGCAAGAGGAAGAATTAGAAAGCATTTCAACAGACTGACTCTCAAAGAATTAGCTGCATTCATAGCGCACAATTATATTCACTGTCAGTCAGCCATGCACTGTGCCTAAATACCTTGTCTGCAAACTAAACGCATTTCCACAATTATCGTCTCTAATTATGAAGCCGTTGAAATGTTGCATACTAAATGACTTTCTGTGCATGCAGAAGCTGCTCAGCACAATACAGCATTGGACCAATTAAAGTATTTATTTTAAGTGCTGCACTGTAACCCTAGAAGGATTCTGAAACAGCTCTTTCAAAAAAATTTTAAAATCCTTCAGTTTTTCCTCGTTTTGTTGCACTGTACCACAAATTTCAGTGTATTTTCGGAGTTGGGGGATTAAGATTGTGAGCATTTCAAACTTTGCCACGAATGAAACTCTTAACGTCGCGCTCCGCATTTGTATTCGGCTCCCTTTATGTTGATATCACATCCATCGACAGTTTGCTACAAGCCTTACAAAGGTCGCAGCAAATATGTGGAGAAAATGCTCTGGTCAGATCAAACCAGACTTGCACATCTTTGTCAACATCCTAAGTGCTGTCTGTGGCTGAAAAAGAACACTGCACATCACACTGAACACACCATCCACTGAACACACCATCCCTGGAGTGAAACACGGCGATGGCAGCATCATGCTGGGGGGATGTTTTCCTTCAGAAGGGATAAACATGCCTGTGTGACCTAAATATGATTGCAAAGACTTAAACCTCTATATGCACAGACGCTATCTTTCCCCGTGTGTCTGAGCTGGAGGCTTAGCTTTGGAAATCTGTTTTATCTTTGAGTCGAAGTCTTGGTCCAACTCTCTCCTAAGCAAAAAGGTTTTCAAATGGGACAAAGTCCAGCAACAACAACATCGGTCAACTTATCTTGTTTGCTTTTTTGAATGGCTTCGACTGGATACTCATGTGAAAAGGGAAGTGAAATTGATAACGCTGTTTTACCACGCTATTTGTTCCCCTCATGCCACCAAAACATTTGATGCAGCTGCTTCAAATGCAAATAGAGGGGACGTCAGGTTTCGCTTTCATAAGCTTACGTAGTTTTGCAGCTCACTGCACTTTGCATCAAATTGATTGATATTTTCCTTTATTGTAACATTATCTTTATCTTTTCATTCCAGTGTAATGTTTTTTTTTTATTATTGTTATTATTTGAGAACTGGTGAGATATTTCCTGTGATTTGGCTGATCCCCTTCTGTTTGTGTGAGTTCATTTCATTTTGGAGAAATTACGCGGCATCGTCTCCAGTTAAGTCCCGGTTTACTTGCCAATTATGCCAATTAAGTGTTTCCCTCTGCTCTAATTGTCGATGTAATCATCTGTGCTTGTGTTTGGATTTATTGACTAAAAGATGTCAATCAAGCAGAGTGGGGTTACCAGTAGCGAAGTTATATGCTTCAGCCACGGTCCAAAGGAAATTACCTTCAGCCTTCTTTACAGTGTTGCTATGGAGAGGCAATTAACCTAAATTGTAATTGTCTGAGACTAATGTGTCTTAGCTTTCCCCCCGTAATTGAATTAAGTTATTCCACTCTTCCGCATCTCTCCCCATGTTCCATGCACATCTCCCTTTGCTCACCTCTGTTCAAGAGTAAGAGGAGGTAACAAGCAGATGTGTTGATGAAGAGATGCGACCAAGATTGCTTATTTTGTTGCGGCCTGAGATCTCGGATCCCAAACACACACACACACTTTGTGTTCAAAACGTGAGCCTCCAGATGTGGCTGCATTCACTCCAGCACTTTTGACTCATCAGAGACGCAGGTGCATCCATACAACCCTTCAGGCAAGGCTCCAGCCTTCCTCCCTCAAGACTGCTCAGCATCATAACATACCAGTGCACATTTCATCACATTACAGCCACAATTTATTTCACTTTTTAATTTATGTAGTAGACCAACAAGAAGTAGCAAATAATTCTGAAGTGGAAGAAAAATAATAACATCTTAATTTTTAAACAGGAATAATTTTTGACTATTCCTGTTCATGAGTTGAATGTGCAAATGTCAACTTTCCAAGTCTTGCAGACGAAAAATTATCCCAGAGCATGCTGCTTCCACCACATCACACCGGTTAAGTGGAGGGTGAATTTACTGCGTCCTACTGTGGAAATCCTTAGCCAGTCCTTTTTCTTGACCGTCTTTCAACAATAGCTTTTCAGAGGTACCGTAACGCTGACACCGGAGATGTAGTGTCCAGAACCAACGCTGTCCTCTTGAGTAGGAACATCCGAGTGGGAGTAAATCCTCACTTAAATCTTCTTTAACTGTGTTTCCCTGCTAAAGATGCGGGAAACTGGGCCGCCGGTGGAGAACACATGATGTTCAATCTGCATTCACAGCGTGGAATAATGCAGCGCGCGTCACCGCTGATCTACCGTGATGAATGGGATTAATCAATCGAAGACAGTACATCTATCCATAAATTAAAAGCCACGCTCATCGCTGAACACTGAGCGCTGTGGTTCTGGTGTTATTTTGGTGACGTGTTGAGTGGGTGGATTTTTCACAATAAGCACACTATCATCACACATAAAGCGAATCTCATACAAATAATTAGGCAGCTGTTCAGGAAAATATCTAGAAAACTGAAGATCTGCTGCTTTATTTACCGACAAAAAAAAAAAATCAACATATTTACATGGCTCTGGTTTGACCAAGCAATTCATTCTCATTGCACAGAAAAAGAGAATTTAAGCTGAAAACTACAATCAGCAGCAAAACCTGCAAAATTCATTGTAACCAACTTGAAATCAGGGTTACATTTATAAAGTACAAATACAGAAATATTTGGAATTATTTTGCTCTTGAACAAACCAAATATTATTTGCCTGTTGGGAAAGACACATGCTATAATGTATGTAATTTTGTATTTCATACGTTAAGAGTTGAACCATCTCCTCAGAAATGAACAATATGGCAAAATAATTAAATGCAAATCTTGCAATTCATTGATTTTTGGTTTGTTTCATAGAGACACCGGAGGTGCATGGTTCAGCAGAGGAGCTGCGGTTTCTTGCAGACGTGCTGTTTTTTTTTACAGAGGTCCTGGGGTTTCTCGCAGAGGCGATGGGGTTTCTCGCTGCCGAGCTCCTCTCCAGGCAGTCGTCTTCTCTGCCTTCAACTGAATAGGAACATCACAGCGATCATGGGAATCGGATTGTGGACGAAGATGATGTGGTACAGACAGAAAACATGCAGCTGCAATCAGTAGTGGACGTACAAATGATTTCTCAAAACAGTCATGTGTCAAGATGTATTAGTTTACTTTTGAGATAATAGTCATAAACCTTTGACAAGGTTTATAACCTAAAGTAGTGACACCTAAATGGCATGTGTATATCCTTTAATTTCCTTGACCTAGAGAGCTTAAAGGAGCCAAAATTAATGATAACACCAAACTCATGGAGTAGGAGTCTGAGGCACACACTGGGAGCAGTGGACCCTAGGAAGGGCGCCAGACCAGACGGAGTGACCAGCAGAGTTCTGAGTGAGTGTGCAGACCAGCTGGCCAGGGTCTTCACCAAAATATTTAATTCATCACTGCCCCAGTAAATTACACAGCACCTGAGGACACCCACAATAGTCCCGCTGTCAAAACACATCACCATCTACAGAACCAATGACTGCCAATAAGTTGCTCTGACACCTGTCATGATGAAGTGTTTTGAGAAACTGCTTCAACGTCACCTTCTATCCTGCCTCTCGCCCTTAGCAGTTCACACACAGAGGTTGGAGATCACCTGAGGAGGCAATTGTCACAGGGATGATATGAAAGGTTGCTATTTGCTGATTTTAGCTCTGCTATTGATGCCATACTCCCAAACGGACCAACAGCAAAGCTACTGGTCATTGGACTTCCTGTCACCACCTGCTTCTAGATCAGAGCAGCTCTAGATCAGAGTCAAAGTGGGCCCTTAACTTTCCACAGCCCTCGGTCTTAACACTAGCTCCCCACAGGGCTGTGTACTTAGCCCCTGCTGTACACTCTGTAGCTCTATGACTGTGTCAGCTACATATGCTAATTGACTTAGCGTGTGTTGCACAACAGTGCTATAGCCTCTTTTGCTTTGTCTACCCCACTTCTTTGAAGTTGGCAATGTGCAATTATCAAGAGCAATTTTTATTTTTCTGATTTGCGGTTGTACTATTTAACATTTAGCTATCGATTACGAATTGATTTGTGGTACTTTTGACGCTCCACCAAAGAAGAGATTTGATGTTTTCGTGATTTTCAAAACTATCATTTGTTTCTAAAATCCTGAAACTGCCTTAAAGCACCTGCACAGCCAATCTCTCATGGAGCTGCGGGATTTTTATTCTCGTTTTCTTTCATTCCTGCTACAAATGGAACTGAGAGCAAATCAGTGTGGCTAGAGACACTGTATACCTGTCACCTTTGCAGATTTGTATTCTTGCAAATTATTCCAAATTCAACACCTACACTTCGCTGCTCTTTGCTGCCCTCACATGCCTCTAAAAGGAACTTTTCCCAGCTCTAATGGAAAGCCTCTGCTCTGTGCTGCTGCAGTCTGATGAAAGCTATGGCACTAAAATGTACAGACCCCAGAGAACTAAAGAGCTTGAAAATTCCTTGAGACTGTTTGTCTTCTTAGGGAGAGTATAGGCTATGTGTCAAATTTCTACTGACGCACAAACTGTGACAAAAAAACCATCCATTTCTAGTTTCAAATAAAAAAAAACTGTTACCTTCGCTGAGGACTTGCATAGCGACGTAACCATCCAGCAGAGAGGTGAATCCTGTCAGGCCCCCCATGGCTGCATAAGGAACATCTTTGCCAACGGGCTGACCTCTCGCCAGCCTCTCTTGCTTTGTCTCAACCTGTGAAGAATAATGGGAAAAATACTTGATACATGAAGTACTGTAACAATAAGCTGACAAAAGTGCTCCTTCAGATGAAGCTGTTGTTGTCCATGACCACTCACTAAGGTACGGTGCTCATAGCTGGGTCGACCGCACCCACAAGTGTAGGGACTGTGGAACCCAGAGCAGACTTTGCCTGAAAAATACCGCATCATTTTCCGGTAGGTTAAAAAGCATTTTCTGGGTGGTAGCCAACATATCTTGAACGTAGGGATGTCTGACTCACACTTCTTGCACAAGTGGCCGGCAGCTTCACTGTGATCCTCCGGTAAATGTTTGCACTTGCAGCGCACCATCACGCCTCCGGCCTGAGGGATGTAGTCATAAGAAGAACAGCGACAACCGCTGACCTTGCACCGTAGAACAAGGGGTCGCTCAGAGGGAATCACCTCAAACTCTGTCTGATGCTGCTTGTATCTGGTGGCGATTGATTCACCGTGTATACATTGCATTGCAAAAGTATTCATGCCTCATGTCTCCACATGTATGAAGAGGACGCATGTGTCACAGTCAGGTCACAAAGTCATATCCTACCTGTGTTCACAAAAGCACTGTGTTTCAGGGCCAATCTGCTTGCAGTCAATGCCCCCTGGTACACCGTAGCTCACATACAACCTGTTTTTCATACGTAGCGGTATAACCCTCCTTTTGTACTCTTCATATTCCTCTGGAGTGAAAAGTTTCCCACCATCGTCATCACCGACAATCCTTAAAAACAACTAAAAATCAATGAAACCTATAAACAGGCACAACACAAGCTTGACAGTCAAAGGTCTTCATATGATTTACGCATTTATATTTCAATAGTTCCAGACGTTGCTCTGGACAATTTAAAGGTAAAAGACACTTGATGGTTTTGCCTCAAATTCATGGAAAACTATTTCTAAAATAAGTCAGCAGATAAAAAATGTGTTGGCACGCACCTTCTGTACTCCGCATAGTCATCCACTGCTTCCAAAGCCGCGTTGTTCCGATTTACCGGGATCATTATCGTCAAATGAAAACAACAGCATTGCAAGTGATACTTGTTTGGGGCCCGCAGCAGATGTTGCTATGGAGATGGTTTTAGGGCTCCCTCTCGTGGTCGCATAGGGAACTGCAGCAACTGTATTAACGACAGAAATAACATAAAATCTTGTTTCAAACAAAGCAAGAACGGCGAGGCAAAAACACAGGCAAACTCGGGTAAAAGTCAAACATTAGAAAGCAACAAAACTATTTTAGTCACTTAGCAAAAACTAGTTAAAAGGCTTCGCATTCGCAAGAAATATCCTTCTCTTCGACGTGTATAAAAATATAGTAATTAGTAAGTGGCGTTCATGTACACTTTACTTGATCTGGTTCTACTTGTGTAGTTTTTCGTTCATATGAAAAACGATGGTCGTAAAGGTGGGTTATCTTCAACCGCACCAAAAATACGAATACATTTCCCACAATGCAACGGAGTTGACGTGGCCGAAGACGTTCCGGCGGATCCATGACAGTACATTACACGGTCCCATGCCTGCAAGTACAGCAGCTGACGAGTTTGGGTTGCTTTGTTTTGTGTGTGTGTGTGTGTTTTCTTTCGAAGCCACCGTCACGTTGTCGGCAGAACGACGAAGACGAAATAAGCAATAAAGCGGAAAGAATATCCGCCCACATTTCTTCTCAGCTGAGACTGTTCTGTTTGTGTTTTTGATTTTTTTTTTCCCCCCCTCGTCATTTAACGGAAATGGTGGCGTGCCAAAGACGTTTCTCCAGCGGTAGCGAAACGAGCCGCGGGGCGGCGAAGAGCAAGCGTCGTCCCGGTCCCAGCGCCTCCGCGGCCTCTAAATGTCTTCCTCGGAGCCCAGGTATCGACACATGCACACGGTGGGGGCCGCGCTTCTGTTGCTGACGGGCCACACTGTATCTGCTGACAAGTGTCTCGCTGTACGACGCCGTGTGTGTGTGTGTGTGGAGAGAGAGCGTGCTGTGAGCTAACACGGCGAGCTAACGCCGACAGGAAATCTGGTTCGAGTGAATTTGTTTTCAGTTCAAATAACCGTGATTCCGCCAGTGTCCGCAGACGCCAGCGTCTGTAAGTGCGGTGCTGTGTGAACGAGTCCGGGCAGTTTGAAAGCAAACTTGCCAGTGAGTTATGGCTTACTGGGCGCGCGCTGTTGTTGTGCTCCTCCGACCAACGGCTATTGACTTTTCATCAGTGTATATTGTACAGCTTAACTAACTGATGAAGTCATTTTGTGATCCTATCAGCCGCACAATAACACCTGACAGCTGCTGTAGTCACTGTTTAACTTGGAGGTTATCCATTGTGATAGCTGTGGTGTGCCTTATCAGTCAGTCAGGGAAACATGCTACTTTTAAGCTCTACAATATTTATTTGTTATCATACAAATTGTGTGATACAGTGTGGCACTAGATATGTCAAAACAGGAGTATTAAAAGTTGAGCTACTTTTAGATTATTTAAATTATATTGAAACCTTAAAGTTTTGACCCAAAATTACAAAAACAACCCCAAAAAACCTAATGTTTTTTTTATTATTATTATTATTATTAGGAATTGCTATGAAAGTATTAAAAGAAATGTTTTGCATTTTGTTAGAGATTAGAATAAAAGTCAGTGATTTACTTTGTGATCAGTTTTTCTTAAGTGTTGAATATGTCTTCACCATTTAAACAGCTCTAGATAATATTGTAGCACGTGTCAAAGAAAAACATTGTAGATTAAATCCAGAAATTAAATTGAAATATAGCTTTCAGTTTTTGTTTTTTTTAAATTAAATCTCACTTTTGCATGCGCTTACACGTGTAATCGGTTGGCTTCTGATATAAAAATGGTTTTCAAATATTAATTAGCTGTTTGGCTGAGTTTAAAAAAGAAAGCAGTTTTTTTTTCTGAGAATGAGGGGTTGGTTCAAAATTTCACCACCAAGCTCAGGAGATGTTGTGAATAGGAATGGGGGGGCAAAGAAGATCACGCATTTTATTCAGAAAATATCTTACTCCTCCCTCGCCTGCTGATGTGCATGGTTATCAAAGTGTCTGAAATACTTTCCACTGGCTTGCAGGAAACAGAAACTTATGAAATATTTCTGGTTACAAAAAACACATCGTGGAAGCTAAAGGGGCCCTTCCCATCTCTCCTATTTAAATTTCCTGTGGGATCAATAAAGTATTTTTGAATTTGTAACAGCGTTTGAAAACTAAAGCCGTCTGCAGACTCAAGTGTAGCAGATAGCTGATCCACATAGCAAGCCTTTTTAGCTTATTGAATTTGTGAATCATTATCAAGTGCGGCTAGGAAGATAGAAAGGGATTAACTATAACACGCAATAACAAGCAAATATGATTTTAGTGGAGGGTGTGGTCAACATATTTTTAGGCTATTTGTCAAAAGTACATGTCATCTATAATATTATTTCAACATCAATAATCAATATGATTTTTTTGACTGTTAACACTCATAGTGGATTGCACAAAGTGGATGGCGTTTTAAATAAGGAGAATCTCAAACAAACATGGAAACAAGTTTTAAGGATGTACAAAGCATGCTAACATGAGCCTCCTGGAATAGTCCCACCTGGAATCCTATGCTTCAGAAAAGTCAGATCTTTTATTACAACCCTGTGTGTGTTAGGGAAAATTCACAGTAAATTTCAACCCAGTGTTTATTGTTTAGTAAAAAGATGGTTATAGTTGTTCTGTTTTGTTTATTATAGCCTGCATTAATAAACAAAACAAGCATTATCCAAATGCACGTTTAACTGTCCAAAATGAATGGAGATTCAGATTGTGTGCTATGAATGCAAGTCGGCCTTCCAGTAGCACTTCAGTTTGCAAAGTGATGCAAATTGAAAAGAGTGCTAGAGATTTCTTGTTGCGTTTAACGTATCAAACAGTAACAACTGCTTTGTCATGCTTTTTAGCTACTTTATTTTTTATTTTTGCACAGGTCAGAGGAAAGGATATCTGTATCTACAAAGCCCCGGTTTAGATTCAGATTGTGTTACCTAATCTTTTCATAATTTATAAATTCAGCCGCTGTCCCCTTTCTGAACCTGAACAGGAAGTGACACACCCACACCCATAAAAAACTCTCCAACGGTGACAAAGTTATGAAAATTGAGAAATGATCACCTAATTTTTGTTCCCTATGTGCACATTGTCTCCTTAGCCCTCATTGTCTTCACTTCAATAGCCATTGTGTGGGTGAAATGAGAAAAAGAATGCCCTCCACAATCCTTTCTGTTGCTCGGTCTTCTTGTCTGGAGCTGCAAAATGGGCCTTTATGAAATCTAAACTTGTAATTGGGTCTCTGGGCTAAAAGGCCTGAAAGAGATTTGTCTGAGTGGACTATTGTGTGCCCAGAGCCAAAGCAGCAAAAAAAAAAAAAAAAAGTCTCTAATAACAGACAAGTAGCTTAGGACATAACTTTCATGCTGCCTATATTTATTAAAACATTTTTGAAAAATAAATAAAGTAATGCTCTGCATTTGCATTAACATTAACTGTATTAATTATGTTTTTTTTGTATTTTTTTTAGTATAGGTAACTATGCCTGTGGAGCCTGTGCAGCCATGACTACATAGATGATTTGGTGTTCAAGATCTCACAAGCAAAGAACTCCAGAAGCTCCTGATCGCTGGCTTTTAAGGGCATCAACTTGCATCTGGTTGCATTTCCTGGCTTCTGCAGCTGCTCAGCACTTGCTCACCGCCTCCATGAGAGGCAGGATGTTAGTAACTTTTGCAGAACTCTGACCTTACTGAAAGAAACAGCACCACGTTTTATTACTTTACATAACCGACTGCGCCTCAAAGATCTTCGGCCCTTTGAAAGGCTCCTCTACCACCCCCACCCCCGTCCCTCTTTCATCCCTGCCCAGTACCATGCTGGGTGCACTCTTTCTGCGGAGGAACATGTCCCAGAAGCTGAGTGTGCTGCTGCTGGTATTCGGGTTGGCGTGGGGACTGATGCTGCTGCGCTACACCGTGCAGCAGCCTCGCCATCAGACCAGCGCCGAGCTGCGTGAGCAGATCCTGGAGCTCAGCCGGCGATACGTCAAGGTCCTGACGGAGGAGAACCAGAACGCTCCGGGGGGCCCACAGGGAACGTCCATGGCAGGATATGGTAAGCAGTTTCAGTCAGAGTTATGAGCTATAGCAGAAGTACTCAAACCCCTTGAACTTTTTTGTATTTTATCACATTACAACCAGAAACGGGATACTACTGTAGACAGCTTATTTTATTGGGACAAAAACAATTAATTGACTTCTGATTATTTGTCAATTAGTAGCTTCTTATATTAAAACGAGTTCCAATCGATTAACCAAAAATGTCGGCTTAGATCTCCTTTCAGTATGGTAGTTTGGCCTCCATCCAGAAGAGGGCGTTGCTGGTCATTCTGGATCAGAGCCAGTTGATACAGAATAAAAGATGGCAGAGCCATGCAGGAACAGGAGTCCAGTGTGGGATGCAAAGACTTTGAGAACACTTGACAAGCTCCTTACATTTTCTCTTTCATTTTTCTATTCAGCAACTTAAATAGCTGCTGTTTTGTTTTGTACCTGTAGTGCATTTTTATAAATGTCTTTAGGTTCAGTAATGTGAGAAACCCAGAATTTTATGTTTTACAGTCAGCTGACACAAAATAATGTTAAATTAAATATATTTTTTAAATTGAACATATGATCAATTTAAACGTAAAGACCCTCAGCTCTTTTCAGACAACAGAAAATAGAGGTTTTTAAGAAAATGACCACCTGTCAATTAATTCATAGTTGATCGATAAGATCAGTAAACCATAGATTAACTCAGTGGTTCCCAAAGATTTTCTGGGGCCCTCTTTGGATTACAATAAAATCCCTCTCCCACAAAGAGGGGGAAAAAAAATCAACTGGGCACACACATCGTTCAACCAGACATAATCTTATACACATACTTTGTTCTCAAACTCCACTGAAATTTATTTCACACTTCAAGTTGCAACAAAACACACTACAAACCATCTTTACAGTGAAACACTTTTAACTGTTTTTTTTTTTTTTTTTTTCATCCATACCGCTTCCTGCGGCCCTCCTGCAAAGGCACTGCGGCCCCCCCAGGGGGCACGCCCCACACTTTTGGAACCACTAGATTAACTTATTAATTAAAAAAAAAAAAAGCAGTGCATAATTATGAAGGGTTATTAAAGCATCACAGAAATTAATCCACTCTCTTTTTCTCATTCCACCTGTCACCTTTCAGCTGACCTCAAAAGGACCATCGCTGTGTTGCTGGATGACATTCTGACACGGCTGGTCAAACTGGAGGGGAGAATCGAACTGGTGGCGAATTCCTCTTTAACAAACACATCCCATGCAGCGGCGGCGGCAGCAGGGCTTCCCGCTGGCCTGCGGAAAGCTTCCAAGCAGGAGTCACCAGGGAGCCATCCAGGGATGTCGCGTCTTCATCCACACATCCCTAAGAGACCTTGATCCCTTTAAGAAGCCCCCCTCCATCACTGCTCACTGGTGTATCGGCACCAAGTGATCAAGTAGCAATAGAGATATTCACAGACACCCAAAATCCTAAAGTGCTGGATGTGACAATTCAGCTCAGTTGGAGAAAGAAATGAAGGACTTCTTTATTCTCCTGCATTTCCTGCGACATTGAGACTGTCCTGTTCATATTTTATGTTTGCATTGCAAACATTCTTTTGCCTTCATTTCTTTATTTTAGGGGTTTTTCTTTTAACCCTGCAGCTTTTGAGCTTTTTGACTGTTAAAGTAAATGCAGAGAAACCAAAACAAACAAGCTGAACATCTAATTAGAAATCTGACACACACACACAAAAAAAAGCCTTATCTTCAATAGAGTCACAAGACAAATACTGAGCTCAATCTTACACTCATAATGAAGAATGATTATATTTTAGAGTTTTTAGGAGGGACCGATAAATAAGATTGTTATTTTAGCCTGTGATTAAGCCTAAATAAAGTTTGCTCTTAAGAGATAACCCAAAGAATACTTTTTACCACTTCGGTCAAGGCAATATAAATGTGTGTGTTTAGCAGTGAGAGTCGGTGTGGAATGACGGGAGGATGCCTGTCCGACCACTGTAAGCGTCTGTCCCGAGTGTGTGGGCTTCCCATATCTGTTGGATCCCAGGTGTCGTTTAGAGCCGTTTCAACCGAGGCGGTGCAGAACACTGAATGTACTGCGTCGTCAGTAGATCTGTATTGTCCAGGATTCATATTGCACTGTGATTACAGAGACTGTCTCAATACACTTAAGCTCATCTCACTTGTGCTTTAGAAATGTTTAAAGGGGAGGGAATGTTTGTTCCAGTTTTTCTCCTCCTTTAGTTGCTTCTTGTATTGCCATTAAACTGGTGAAGCACCTCACCAGTTCACTCATTCGCAGATTATTTCCATTTTTTTTTTCTTTGAGCACTTAAACTGAGGCTATTTGGGAGTTTTGTGCGACAAAGTCAATGTGGATCAAGAAAACGCTAGAATTAAAAAAGGCTTTGCTTCATTATGTTGCTTGGAAATGGAACAACTGAGCTCAAGAGGCTTGAATGACAAAGTGGTGCTTTGACGATAATGCTGTGATTGCTTCAAAATCTTAAAGTGGAATATTAGATCAGCCAGCCACTTTGAGAACAGTTTCCTCATAATTTGATAGAAACCAAGTGTTTCCTATTTTGAATCAGTTTTGAGTCAAATTTTGTCTCAGAAGCCAATTAAAGCACTAATATGCCTATTTATGGTCTGTAACTAATTTGCATTTAGATTTTGCACAGCAAAGGTATTGCTTCCTGTAAAAGCGAACATCAATGGCTTTTGTTGTGATTTTATGTGTTGAACCAACACACAGCAGTTCATAATTGTAAAGAAAGATGTTTGGTTTTCAAATATTTAAGAAATAAAAATCTGACAATAGTGGCACGCATTTACATTTAGTTTCCTGGATTCCCTTTTGTGACGTTTACAGTCAAAGTAACCTGGTCAGTCTGGGTGGACAGTGTCTTTGAACGTCAATCGTCTGATTCTGGATTTGACTGGACAAGTTTAATTCACTTCACAAAGGCTTTATTAAACCCAAAGGGAAAAACTCTTACTATCCAAAGTTCTTCAAACAGTGTTACTGGTAGGATCTGTTTTATTCGGCATCTCTATGTCTCTTATAAACAGCCAATGTGCTCCAAGACAGTGCTGGTCATTTTACCTCTTTCCCTTTACATACTTGACTCTTCTGAGTATAAGTTGGGACTTTCCCGGGATTATGTGTTTTCTAAAAGCCAATGGAGATTTTTAAAATATTTCAAACCCAGGAGTGGGATTATCTCACACTCGTCTTGTGCTCCAGGAAATTAAGTTGTGTGACTAAAATAAATGAAAATAACCATCAGGGGGCTTGCATTCTCATTGACGCATTTTTTTTTTTTTTTAATCAGTTTATGGTGATAAATTTGTCCTCCATTTTAAAGTAACAACTTCCCCCTTACTTGTACCCAGGTCATCCACCAACTGACGTGTAAGAAATGCATTGGGAAATGAAGCCTGAGGTGATTTTACTGTCAATTATTGACTACTGAATATCTGCAACACATAAAAAGTTTATGTATTAAGTTTAAGATGCCTGTTGTGGAGAGAGGCACACTGGTTTAGAGTAGATGGATGATTAATTAAAATGTGACCTCGGTTACCACCTTAGTTATGTGTGAAGAACCTTAAATCCTCTGGTGTCTTTTTACCAGATCACACATAAGTTTGTAAGGAAAATGATCAGAGGCACTGATGCAAATTAACCACAGTTTATTTAATCACAATAATGCTAGGCATAAATAGTCAATTCATTTTTATTGTACAATATCAACCACTTTAAAATCCTAAATCTATGCTGGCCCTGGAAACCTTACCGCTGATGATCAGTTACTCTGATTAAATAAAATCAGACTGCTTGGGGGAGAAATAATAATTTAAAAAAACAAATGTAACTGAATACACCTACGTGTTCCCAAACAAAAACACACTCGCACAACTAAAGAAAAACTCCCGGTGAATAACACAAAACAAGAAACTCCCCTTCCACTAGTCTCCTCAATCTAGATAAAACAGCTTGGAACCAGGGACAGCACAGGTTTCTACAAGCGAGCCTGGAGGGCTGAACAATAAAAACTCCCAAAAGAATAAAAAAGTTTAATCCATAAATAACCAAAACAAACTAAAACCGAAACAGTAGCAGGCCAACCTGCACACAACAGAGAATAAAATTAAACAGATATTTTAAATAACCACATAATAATGAACTGCCTTTACCTTCGCTAAAAGCTAGCAGAGCTCTGTATATCCTCTCCAAGAGGAGGTTTCCTGCAACAATAAAATGGAGCCATCAGAAATAATTCTCAACCCAGCGCACACTTCATGTTAACCATACCTGCAGAGAAATCAGCCTGGACTCTCACCCTCTCAGCGATCTACCCGCTTTTAAATGTAAATACAAATTGCTTGCCTCGGTAATGAATCAGCTGCGCTAAAACAGCGTCTTCCTTATATGGGCAACCGGAAGAGTGCATAATGGACATAATGCCCCGGCTACAAAAAGATACAATAAAAAAAAAGTCTAACCCACAATCTGAGCTGTTGGGGTCTAGAAATCAATATTTTATTTAGAATGATGTTATTGTAAATTTATTATCTTTTTTTTTATCGATTAGAAACCTTATTTTGATAACAAAAGGGAGCCGGGAATTTGATTGGATTATGTGTTAGAACTGCTTGCCATACATTCGCTTTGCAGATAGCGGGGAGCCACTCACAGCCCGGCGTTTCCTTGTTGTTGCTGAAAAAAAAAAAAAACTGCGTTTGGACCCAACCTACCTTATCCACCAATCACAGGAGAGCGTTTCCTCCCACCGCGTCTCATCCGCGGCTTCACGAAGAGAAGGTAAAAGATTTTTCTTAACGCGAAGAGACGGTCAACAGTCGCCTTCCGACCTGCCGCCATGTTTTTAGGACCTAGTGAACACTTTGTCAGTTTTATGCTGAAGCTTTTCAGTGACAAACCACCCGAAACGACGAGGTAAGGTCAGAGGTCATACGTTCTACATTTTCTTCCTTTTTTATTTGTCTGTTTTAGGTTTATATTACAGTGGTGCAATAAGACAGTACTATCTGGAGACATTGGAAATGTCTCTTCCAACTATTTTTAGGTATTGATTCATTATATTTGGGAGGAAAAACCCCAACACCCTCCAGTGTAAAATTCTGTTGTTTCAAACCTTCTGTTGAAGCATTTTATTTTTTTTTATTTTGCCTGCTTTAGAATCAACAGGTGGAGCTATATGGATCAGAACATCCATATAGGCTGATGTATTCCAGTTATTGAAACTATAACGATGTATTCAAAGATGAAGCTCAGATTAGTTTTAGATGTTGTTTTTGCAACAACAAGGAAACGCCGGGCTGTGATCGGCTCCCCGCTATCTGCAAAGCGAAGGTAGGATTTGTTTTATTTATTTTTATTTGTTTTAAGTAGGGTTGCTGTTTATGAGGATGTCCAATGTACCGTGTAGTAAATGCATTTGATCCAGCTTCCCTTTGCATGAGTTACTGCATCAGTGTGATGTGACATGGAGGCAATTAGCCTGTGGCTCTGCTGAGGTTTGAGATTGCTTTGATAGCATAATTTGGGTGAGTTCCATTATTGCAAATGGAGTCTCCATGTGCCGTATAGACTGCCTGTGGGGTTTAGGCCGGGTTAGGTGAGATGATAAATTGATCAATAAAACAACTCTTGGTGCTCTTAGTGTGCAAGTGCTGCGGGAAAATGAAATCAGCATCTCACTTTCGAATTTAAAATTGAATTAAAAACACTGTTTTATGTATTGATTTCCATTTCAAAGTGTCCCATAAATACCCGCTTGAAGGAAGTTTTCTTGATGAGTTGATGGAATGTGAAACGTCAAGGCTTTTTTGTTTTCATTAGACGTGATGATGTAGATTTGCCACAAGATGTCAGTATCATCTTATGTGCCTTAACCGAAGAAATGAAGCATCTTCATTCAAAAAGGAATTACCAGTTGGGAGCTTCTGCTTCTGGAAGTTAAATCTCACCAAAAAAGAGATGTCGCTTCTCCTTTCTCTCCTCTTTCCTCAGACAATAAGAGCTGGAGACGGATGAGGGAGCCGTCGGAGTAGATTATTCCATCTGGAGTCTCCTGAAATCTACAGCCGCAGCCGTCCTCCTCGGGAAGAGCAACGATGACGTCAAGCTTGGACTTTGCTTCACTTTTTGGCCAGTGATATCTTTTAGCTTTGATTTACTGTTAAAAATGTAGAGGGCGCGGTGTTTTCAGTCCATTTAAAAACTCTTTCTCACCTTATTTCTCCGCAAACGAGGTGCAGAATTATCCTGACAAATGCGGGCATGGCAGATACGATAAACGAAAACATCATTTAGACAAGTTATGATTTGTGAGTAGGAAGGCAGCAATATGCTCTTGTCCTAAAGGGAAATTTTCTCTTATTGTCTTCCTTCTCCTGCAGAGGGTCTCCATCATCCTAATGATGTGGGCTCTCCTTTACCATCAGGAAGCGTAAATAGAGATCCTTTCTTGTGCAGTTTGGGATGCAGCACCATTATTAGCCTCATACGCATACCATAATGAAGATGAGGACAGATCAGTTTTATTTGTACTCTGCAGCAGTAAACGTAAATTTCTCGTTCTTTCCACAGGCGAATTCTGAGTGGCTTCAAAGTTCAGCCTCCCCTCTTTCTCGTCTTCTGTGGTGTTTTAAAGGAGCAATTGAAATCTGCAAGTATTCATCAATATGATGTTGATGAACATCAGTATGTCTTGAATCTGCTGATTCAAAAAATCAGCAAATTTTTTGAAATCGGAAGTCGTTTATATGCATTAGACGCCCCGAGCCTCATCCTCAGGCTTACAGCTTTTTTCTTTTTCTTTCCTCTTTTGCATTTTGCAGCAGATATTACAGCTTTTTAGCGAACCGGTGGTTATTCCGACCGGTTGCGCTTATTGCTCAAGAAGAGGAAACAATGGGGACACTTGATTTTTACAGCCGGTGTCTGGTGAACATGTTTAACAGCGAGCGTCACAGATTTACCTCGGTGTTACTATGCTTTGACTTTTACAGTTTACTGGGCTATAAAATAAAGTGTTTTGGATCAGCAGCTTGGTTTTCTTTTGTCTGTTGACACTTTTCCAGTGTTTCAAATGATTTCATCTTGTCCAATTGAAGCACCAAACTGTAGGGTTACATAGCATGTCCCTCTCTTTTTTTTTTCTAATAAATCAAGCTCACGTCAGAAGTAGATTTTTATATCTTTGGAATGTGATGATGAGATTTTTCCACTTGCTTTACTATTTTGTCATGAAAAACTCAGACTTCCATGCAAACATGCATCAGATGGCATCACAAAAGACACAGACAACTAACCAGTTCTTTTGATTACGTCCTCTTGCACCTTTTCTTTTACCTTTTTCTTGTTTCTCTGCATGTTTTTAAGCCAATTCTCCCTTTTAAAGGGCTTTACTTGCATGCTGTCCCCAGAGATTGCCAAGGCTTAGCTGATCAGCTCTCATCTTGTGCCTTTTGTGATGTTATCAAACCTAATCTAATCACGCCAGATTTTTTTAATTTTATTTCTTTTGGTTATTAAGAACTGCGTTTTGTGAAACCCTGCAGTACAAATCCATGCTTCTTTTATTTCCAGGAAAAACAGAAATACACCACTGGACGCCATTTTCAAGGAAAACAGTGAGAACATGCGCAGAATCCGTTTTCTCAGCGTTTTATTGAGAGCTTTTCAGGCACGAACAGGAGGAGATGAACATCACGCTGCATTCACGCAAAGATCAAAATGACGCAAGTTAATAACATGGTGTGAATGAATAACATAAAAAGGGCTTGCTATTAACTAAACTATGTCAGAAGTCAAAAAGAAAGAGAAAAGAAACCTTACAGATTACATCTACTGTAGAAATCCTCACCGATTCACTGACACACGTTTGTTTCTCATTCTTCGGAGAAACCGGGAGCAAAAAGCATCTCTCCCATGTGAATGGGCTAATTAAGCATGTAGACCCTTAAAGAATGCAGGTCACTTTATCTGCAGACCTGGCTCCACTCAGAGGGAGTCAATCACCGCTGACACATCCCAGGGGCCTCTCAGTGTTCTGCATTCACTCATACAGGTTCAGAGAGGAGTCGTAAGGTTCCAAGGCAAATGACATGTCGAAGTGACACCAGGTTCAAACTGTGCAGTGCTTCTCAATAAAGATTTAATTAGGTCTTTCTGTGGTAATTGAGGTTTTTCTCTTGCCCAGCATCAGCAACTGGAACAGTAACTTTCAGCAGAACTGTCGAAAGTTACCGTCTACTATCTCTCAGCAGGTGCAAGTGGAGTAAATGATTTTGTGGGTAAATAGTTTTGTTTTATGATCTTGGTCCCTGCCTGTACATTGAGGCTACCCAATGCAACTGGTATGGTGACAGTAGCTTAGCATCTGCGGAGTGGAATGTAAAAACTGGGAGGGGACTTGTGTTGTTTGGAGTTGATTTAGAAATTTGAGTGAAATCCTTCACAGTCGATGGAATTTAAATAGTTTGAAGCTCAGAAAGTAACTAAAATCAAGGACCAGATCCAGATTCTACATCCAGATTAGTACGTTCAATAATCTTCTTGTACAAAAGTAAACATTAAACATATGTGTAGCACTACAAATATTGGCTTAAAACAAAAACTGGTGAGAGATAAAAGATAAAATCATCATTTCTGATCTGACTGTGTTCGAATAGTAGACGTGTTATTCTGTGTGCCTCGCTGGTCTTCTTATGTAGTAGAAACACTTTTTAATACGGTGATGCAGACCGAAATCTAACATTTGACGCGTGTAATTGTGTCGTAAAAAAATAGATATTTAAAGGAGTTTAGAACATTTTTTGTTTTTCAAATTAAAAATGGTACTTGAAGGCATCACAAAAGACTTTGTTTTGCCTTTTTTTAAACTCTAAGCTAAATTATGTCAGTCTCAGAAAGTGATTTCCCACAAATTTGAGAATATTCTTACAACGACTTTTATGTCAACTGGAAAGAAAAAAACTAAAGAATTATCACAGTATGAAAAGGCTTTCTGGATCCAAACAAATTTGTGAAAACAGCCTAAATACTTGCTTTCGTATTTCTTAAAAATAAAATTCAACTTTTGCAGAATTTTTAATCTCCAGATCTTGTGAACAACTGCTTCATATCTATTAAAACAAAAACAATTAACTGCATTCCACATTCTTTAAATTGTGCATTTAAAATCACATTATTCACTGTGTATTACATGTTTGGCACAAAACAATTTTTTTTAAAAAAAATATAATTCTTTCAGGCATGACAATGCAAAAACTGATTACATTTAAGGTTTTTTTTTTTTTTTTAAATATGAAAGCCAATTTGGTTCGCCAGACAAAAAATGAAACCAGTAAACAAGAACAGAGGCAGCAGCCTGGAGGAGAAAGTTTTCCAATGAGATTAGCAAAGAACTGCATGCCAACGCATGGCCGTATAGGCTGCACTCAGGCTGAAACGTGTGACAAAATCTGCAAATATCCGTGTGACCCTTTGAGAACACACACTTTCAGCACTGCAGGAACACGTGCTGCAAACTATGCCAGAAAAAAATCAAACGAAAAAATAATTAAAATCCTGCCCTCTCAGAAATGTTTCAAGTAACTACATTTTGTGATTCAACGCTGAGTTTAAAATTTGTTCAAATAAATGCAATGAAAGAGAAGCAAAGCATTATTAAATAACTATTCTCCACACATCATTGGCATTGAAATTAGACCAGATCAGTTTGAAGTTTAAAGAAAATAAAATAAAGAGACACTTGTTGCCCTCTGAACCCAAACAGTGTTAAATGATGGCTGTTTTTTTTTTTTAGGTCTTATGAGTTGATTCAAAGCAAACTGAAGTGTCATTCTTATTGCAGTACATAATTGTCTCACTTGCCACAAACATCTCAAAATTCACTCTTTTCCAGCTTTTTGCAGTTTTTTTCTTAAGAGCAGAAAATAAAGCGTAGAAATTCTTTGCTTGGCCGAATCTCTCCAAATAATAATCAAACGAGTTTCTGCTCAGGCATGAAAGCAAATTTGAGACATTTTCTTGCAATACAACAACATGTGCTGCAAAAAAAAAAAAAAAAGAGGAGATTTCCGTCTTTGCATATTGTTTTGAATGAAAGAGAGGAGGGGAGAAGCAGAGAGAGGGGGCAACACCCGCCATTTTCTGATGGGTCTCAACACACAACAAAATCTGAGCAGAAAACATGATTGTTTTTTTTGTTTTTGTTTTTACTCTCATAGTTTTGGAAAACACCTTAATGCAGCAGGAGCCCTCCTGCTCACACCTCTACTGCAGCTGCCTGAACGCAAAGATGTGTTTGCATCAGTTCAGTCACTGCCAGACTCTCCTTCAACATGGCGTTCACAGCCTGTGTTCCCTCACTCTCTGGCTGTCGGAAGCGGTCAGTCGCAGGGTTTAAATGGTGCCAAGTTAAATACATACATATATATAGATAGACAGATACATGGAAAAGAAAATGGTTGATTTAATTACTTTTTTAAAAAAATGTATACAGTAAAAATAAAAGCAGTCTCACCGGAAAACAGAAGCTCTGGACTCACTGGAGCCTAATGGGGGGGTTTTGTTTGCGCCTTTGGAGACGCAGACTATGTCTTGGAGAGAGGCCAACGGCGGCTCAAAGTTGGGCTATAAGCTGTGTTTTACTTAAACAATCCACCCCCCACCCCCTCTTTTTCCTCCTCCCTCAGCCCATTTCCCCTTAAATATACTCCCCCCCCACCCCCCTAAAAAAAAGGGGGAAAAACGTGCAAAAGCAGCTCGATTTCTTTGTCTAATCTACAGCAAAGCGCACGGATCTTCCCCGCACAGGATGCAGCTTTGCTCTGAAACTTTACGTTAGTTTGCATTGCACCCCCTATGGAATTTGCTCTGCAACTCGCAGAAGGAGAGACGTGGGGTGGGGGTGGTGGAGGGAAGGGTGAAGGGGCGGGTTAGAGGCTCTTTCTGTACATTCCTCAGCGATACATTCACCGCCGCTCCTCCCGCAGAGTCTTCCCCCACACACACGCACACATGCACGGAGTCGGAGAGAGGGCTGCAGCCATGCGTCGGTTCATTTAAACCGACAGGGGCGAGGAGAGAGACAGAGAGAGAGAGTTCAAATGGCTGCTGTCTATACATCCTGGAGTCACGCAAAGAGCAGCACAATCTGACACTTTCCAACCCACTCGGTGTGGGCTCCACTGTTCTTTTGGCCGGCGGGGGAAACGATTCGAGCTCAACACCCTGCCTGCCTCATGGTTTTTTGCCTATATTGTTTGAGCGCTATTCAAATCGCGGACACGGATCCAACAGGAAATAAAATGTCTCCAATTGAATTTGACGAGATAATCCTCATGAGACGTCTTAGGAGTTGCAAACTTCACTAGACGCATCCTGTATTCACAAGTTTTAAGGATCTTTAATGAAATGCATTCTCTTTTATTATTATTATTATTATTATTATTATTATTATTATTATTATTATTATTATTATTATTATTATTTAAATAACCCTGCTTAATGAATGCAGGGTTCATTAAGCGGCGGGAGCTTGTTGGAAAAGTTGAAGACCGTAAGAAAAAGCGGCCCGGATTCGGCGTGTTTCGTTCCACCTCCGGGATTTACGATGAAGCCGAGCGGAGGAAACCCGGCGGGAGACGCGCGGTTGGCGCGCTGATTCATATAGAATAGTCGACGCCGGGCAGCCAATGAGCGAGCGCGGCTGAGGCCGAGCCGGCAGCGGCGGAGCTGGGAGGCTCCGCGCCGCGCCGATTGGTCCAGCGGCTCAGCCAATCGGCGTGTTCGCTCAGGAGCAGGGAGAGGAGGAGGGGGAGGAAGAGGAGGAGTGCCCTCCGAGACAGACATGGCCCCCGAGAGTCCGAGCCGCTGGATGGAGGGCCCACTGAAGCAACGCTTCCCCTTTGTAACCTGCTTTCAGAGGAGTATGCACATGGAGATGAACACCGCAGGGATGTACAGGAGCTTTCAGGTTTTGTGACATAAAAAGAAAAAATCCTAAGTATTTTCATGACCTCTCTGCCCCCCTATCA